TTCTTATTGTTTCTTGAGATACTGTCTTACTACGATCTCACTATGTATTTCAGGCTGGGTTAAAATATGTCATCTTTCTGCTTTATTCTCCCCACAGGCAGGCATTACAGACATGTGCCACCCTGCACAGCAAAATTCCAGCTACTCAGGGAGCAAAGTTAAACCTCCAAAGACTCTTCCTAATGTAACCACTAGAGGGCAGAAGAAAAGACCCAAGACCCCCATTCAATACAGAACCAAGAAGGATCTTTTTTCTAGGAATCTTTGAGCTACTGCTGTTCTTTCATAGAATACTTATCATAGGCTAGGAGTGACGGTACATCCTGTCACCTCAGTTCTCAGAAGGCTGAAGCAGAAAGATCTCTGCAAAGCAAGCCTAGTAAAAATGTGCTAAAGAAAAAATTCTCAAAAAAAAAAAAAAAAGAAAGAAAAAATTCTCAATTTCAACTAGTCTACTCCTAACACTATGACCAATACCCTCTAAACAGTCTGCTAAAAGATATATTCTAGTTCATTGGAAAGGCATAACCAATAAAACAGAAAGTTTTCAGAATTCTGTTTGCAGCAGGAGGCCCTCTGGAAAACTCTGAAGATGATTTCTAAGGCTGTCAAATGCCTACAATGCTACACATTGAGAAAATTCCCTCCTAAACCACCTGTCTTTTTAAAGAAATATTAAGTCTGATGATTAAAGTAATACACTTGGAAACTGAAAGATTAAATATGATCATCTGCTTTTTTTTTTTCGGAAGTCGACCTCCTCGTGTGTGGAGGTAATGGCGGTTCTGTACGTGCCGAGCCTGGTGAGCAGCCTCGAGATTTTGGTTATGGTGTAAAGTTGCAGAGGTGGGAAGAAGGCCTTTCTTTGACATCTGCAAAGTAATGAATGGAGACAGGCCAGGACCTTGGCATTCCCAAAGCAAGCATAGATGGTATAATGGTCTTTCTGCTTTATATGACCTTCTGAAGTTAAGTTCAGCTGCATGCTGGTCTACCTAGAATCTCCAGTGCTAATCCTTGAGTGGTAAAAATGAGGATTGAAGATGTTGACTGTGGACTTTGAAGGAAGTCATGTGAAAACTCATCTTACA